GATGCTCTTGTTAAGACTCTTTTACAAGAAGGGGAAAACTGTCAAGCAATCTCCCTTTCTTCTTTTTGCCCATGTAAAATAGTGTTCTGAAGGATTTTTCATCACATAGGGATTTATACTATAATTAATCTCTTTTATTTAAAAAAAAAGCCTTGTTATGAAAGTTTTTAAATATTTACAAAAGTGGAGACAAGAGTAATGAACCCCACCCCCGTACCCAGCCCCTAGCTTCAACCGTGATCATCATTTTGTTATATTTACTTGGTCATTGCCTTTTTTGTTTTCTTTCCTTTTTTCTTTTCCCATCCCTTTCTTTCCTTCCTTTCTTTTATCATGTCAAAGAAATTTATGATGTCCCATATATTTTACTCTATATGATACAGAAGTTCATTATAACGTTTTCATGCTTGTATGTACTTAATGATACATACCTAGTCAGTATACCTAACCAATTCTCTAATGATGGGCATTTTCATTATTGTCATTACTATAGTTTATTTCTTATGAATAGTACTTCCTAGGACATCCTTATATGCCTTTGTCGTTTTAACACTTTTATGCACACACATGTGGCGTTCTCTTGGAATGGAATTTACTAGAAATTGCTGAAGCAAAGGGTATGCACTTTTACAAATCGCTACATGATACCAAACTGATCTTTGGAAATGTGGTGATTCTTACTCCCATCAACAGCGTGCCTGTTGATCTTTGCTTATCTCGCTTTTGTCAATCTGTGGATTTTGACAGTTTTCCTGGTATTATGGACTTGAAAAAATGTTTATGTGTATTTAAGAATTATTAATGATGGGGGGGCCCGGGTGGCTCAGTCAGTTGAGCATCTGACTTCGGCTCAGGGCATGATCTTGCGGTTCATGAGTTTGAAGCCCCGCATCGGGCTCTGTGCTGACATCTCAGAGCCTGGAGCCTGCGTCAGATTCTGTGTTTTCCCCCGCCTCTCTCTCTGCCCCTCCCCCACTCATGCTTTGTCTCTCTCTCTCTCTCTCTCTCTCTCAGTCAAAAATAAGTAAACATTAAAAAAATATATTAAAAAAAATTTTTTTAATGTTTATTTTTTTTTGAGAGACACAGAGACAGAATGTGAATGGGTTAGGGGCAGAGAGAGAGGGAGACACAGAAACAGAAGCAGGCTCCAGGCTCTGAGCTGTCAGCACAGATCCTGATATGGGCTCACACCCACGAACTGTGAGATCATGACCTGAGCCGAAGTCAGGCACTCAACCGACTGAGCCACCCAGGCGCCCTGAAAAAAAAGTAAAAATTATTAATGAGGCTAGACGTCTTTATTCTTATTATGAACCGTTTTTATTCTTTTGTGAGTTCAGGCTAATTTTTTATAAACTTTCACCACTTTTATTATTTTACTTCTTTATTCAGGAGCTATAGTATCATTATTTCCTATATCTGATGTTCAAGCCTCTTCATAATTTTGCCCTAACCTATTTTTCTCACTTAATACTGTCCAACAAGAGTCATGCTACTCCAATAAAGAATATTTCTTCATTATTTTAAAAAAAAATTTTTTTTAACATTTATTATTGAGAGAGAGAGGCAAAGCATGAGCATGGGAGGGGCAGAGAGAGGGGGAGACACCGAATCTGAGGCAAGCTCCAGGCTCTGAGCTGTCAGCACAGAGCTTCACATGGGGCTCGAACCCACAAACTTAGAGATCATGACCTGAGCCTAAGTTGGACGCTTAACCAACTGAACCATCCATGTGCCCCAAGAATGTTTCCTCATTCTTACATTTTTTTCTATTCATTTTTTTTTCTTGGATTCATTTTCAAGCATTTTTTACTTGTTTTCTTAATGTTTTACTTTATACTTTTTCTCTGCCTGTTTAAATCCTCCAGAATCCTATGGTCCATCTTATGATAAAGTCCCCACAAATTCTCTAGCCTTCATCAGCTTCCTCTTACTTGAAATCCCACTGTGCCTATTTTTCCCACCACTAGATTTAGTAGCAAATTACAGGCTACTTTGTTGTGTTACTTATCAGGCACCAGCTGTGTGTGAAGCCACGCATACATATCTGTGGACAAAACATAGTCTTTGTCCTTGTGAAGTTTATAGTGTAACAATGATGCCTTTATTTCTACATCTTTGGTTTATTAATGAGTTGAACTTCTTTTAATGTACCTCTATTATATATGAATTATACACAAATTTTTAGATATACACATACATGTCCCCAGATGGGTTATAAGATTATTGAAGATACAAACCATGTTCTATACTTCTCTCTTCCTTAAAGCCCTTAGTTCTCAGCATGTAGCCATTATTAAGTATATACTTGCTCTGTTAATGTAACAGAAGTTCTAGATAGTGGAGTCATATACAGCCTCATATTACAAGACCTCATGAACTAACTGTGCAACATTTGCAAGTTACTCAGCCTCCGTAAGCTTGTTTCCTTATGTGTTAAGTATCTGTTTGATAAGGTTGTCATGTGGGTTAAATAAGGTAGTGTATGTGAAGCATTTAGCGCAATGCTTGACACAGAGTAGGTGCTCTTGGAAAGATACCTCTTACTATATATATAGTTAAACCTCTCAAAGTAGAAACTGCTTCAGCAGACCTTTATTTTCGTAACTATCTTTCATCTAAGCAGTTACCAGATCCTGTTCAGTTTTCTTCAATCATCTTGTCCTCTCCTTTTAATTCTCATTATAACCCACAATAAGAAATACATTATGTATTGTGGCTTAGTATATACTATGCTTACTTGCACATATCTGAAACCAAAGTTCTATGAAATAATACTCGCTGTTACTATGTACGATGCACTCTGCTTTTTTTGTTGTTGTTCTGTGTTATTAAAAAAAAAAAAAAAACTGGTTACAGTCATTGAAACCTTTCACAACAAGGGGCGCCTGGGCAGCTCAGTTGGTTAAGTATCCATCTCTTGATTTCGACTCAGGTCATGATCTCATGGTTTGTGAGTTCGAGCCCCGCATCAGATTCCTGGCCCAATGCGGAGCTTGCTTAGAATTCTCTCTCTCTCCCTCTCTCTCTGCCCCTCCTGCACAAATAAGTAAATAAACTTCAAAAAAAAAAAAAAAAAAAAAAAAAAAGAAATTTCTTTCACAATGATTTGAAACACAGGCTGGACTTTAAGGAATTTGCAGGAGTTGGACTAACTTCACTTATATTCAAGTATAAATTTTCAGTGAAATAGAAGATGGAGGGGGAAGTCTGGGTGGCTCGGTCGTTTGAGTGTCCAACTCTTGACTTCAACTCAGGCTATGATGTCACAGTTTGTGAGATCAAGCCCTGCATCGTGTTTGTCAACGCAGAGCCTGCTTGGGATTCTCTCTCTCCTCTCTCTCTGCCCCTCCTCCACTCACATGTGCTCACTCTCTGTCTCTCAAAATAAATAAACTTTTATAAAAAGCAAAATGAAAATGGAGATGAAGTGACAGAGGCTTGGAGCTTATTACGATTGCACTTTTTCTCTTCTGTTATATGTAGTTAGACTTAACTCCTCACAGTCTGCCTTGTTGCAGAGGGTGGGCGTGGTCGGCTGTGTGCATCACAGAGCTGGTGTAGTGTGAGACTACTCAGGAGTTGGGGCAGAGCTTCCCCGCCTGGGCAAGGCAGAAATTTCCCCACCACCTTTGTGTGTATTGTTTTCTTAGGAAATTGGCATACATGGATTTTAAAGTTGTTAGCGTAATTCTCAAAAAGGGACCTGAAAAAAACTTTGTATTCAAATTTTTTTAAGATTTAGAAAGTAGTATAATGAATCCCTATTACCTAAATTCAGCGTCAGTAATTATGAACATTATGTCAATTCCAAGAAGAATTTTTAACAAAGAGCTTTTAAGACACGCATAATTCCCTTCCTCAGTACGGATGCATGATCTTCATTTGAGAAGATTTGTACCAGTCATCCGTAGGGCACCTTGCTTTACACGACCTATTCATTTTAATTGAGGCCTGCACGAATAATAAGTAATTCTGCGACACGAAGGAGCATTGGTGGGGGTGGGGTGGCTTGTGTTGAAGACCGTCTGGAACACTGGACCCTGGCCATGTTCCTTGGAATATTACAACAGTCTCCTTGACCAGTCCACTCTTGGGGGAGTAGAAGTTCATTGCATTTATCCTCTGTTTAAAACCTTTGATTCTTTGTTCCCTGCCCCGCCTATAGAATAAAATCCCAAACTGTAGATTTTCCTTCATAATCTGCCTCCAACTACCTTTCTAGTTTTCTCTTCCACTGTTTATTCCTTACCGTATCCAGCTTCTTATTCCTAGAACACTCATTCCATTTTGGACTTGTAGTTATTTTTCAAGATTCAGTTTAGATTTCATCTTGTACACGAGACCATTTTAACTACCCCAGAAAGAAGTGCATAGTTCCTCTGCTTGTTTTTGTTTGTTGGGTGTGTGTGTGTGTGTGTGTGTGTGTGTGTGTGTGTGTGTGTGTGTGTGTTGCCAGTTAACTGAGTTGTTCTTAGTTTATGTTTGCTTTCTTCCTCGCCCTTAAGTAGACAGTGACCTCCTCCATAGCAGGGGTTATACCTTAATCTTCGTCTCTGAACCACTTCTTTGATGCCTGCACACAGTAGGCATCTCGTGGTGGTTGAATGGACGTATTCATACTTTCAGAATTTTAAAATCTAATTTTAACACATGTTCTCTCCAGATAAGAAGAATTCATCAGTTTATTTAATTTTTTTTTCATTTTGTTTTGTATATTTTCCAGTTTTTTTCCTTCCCTCCTTGGGGGGCTTTATTCAAATTTCTAAAGAGAACATAAGTTCTGTAGCCTTTTTCTCAGGTGTAAATATACTTTGGTGAACTAGAATAGAGTATCCACCTTTAGCGTTCCTGTAGTAAAGGTAAGTAAAATCTGCCTTCAGTATACTCAGTTTTTTGCTCTTGTTGTTGAACAGTATGATCTTACGGGGCTTAGAAAGCAGAGTGGAGTAGATTTGTGCTTATAGTCGCCTTGACCAGTTTTTGCTGTATTTCAGCTCATGGAATGCTGTGTAAATGCCCTGGTGACATCTTTTAAAGAGACGATCTTAGCCGAGTGCCAAGGCATGATCAAGCGAAATGAAACTGAAAGTAGGTAAAACATCACATAAAGTTCTCATAATCTTTTAAGAGGTATCTTTGAAGCGAATCACTTTTAATAAGTTTGCTATTAGATTATTCTTTTATATAGAGGTATATTTGTTACGGTAAACCGTGCTTAAAGAAAATGGTAAGATGTTTAACATATAGAAAGTTGCAAATTTGCATTTTAAACATTCTCCCCTTCGGTATCAATGTGCAGGGGAGGGGGTTGGATTTCAGCGTGTCCTCAAACCGTAGGACTCCTGCTTTTAAAGGCTAATTTAAATGGTAAACACAGGGATAGGAAAGAACTAGGCATTTGACTTCTGTGTGGGACTTCGTGACAAATATTTTTAGAAAGTAAAATAACATTCCGTGTTAATGCTCTTCATCCCTCTCCCCTAAAATATGTTACAATTTAAGATTTCTGCAAGTACTTTTTTTTTATTATTTACATGTTTTCTTAATAAAGGTATATTTGGGGAGGTTGCAAGTACATTACAACCAAAAGGAATATGGTAAAAAAAAATTACCTATATTTCTACTACGTAGAGATAACAACTTTTAACACTTTGATGTATTGCTCTCTGGATTTCATTGTGTATAAAAATCTCCAGCTGCATTTAAAGTACGTATTTCAGCTCACCTAGGTTCATACACTTGTTAATAGTTTTGTAGTAGAAAGCTCATTGGCATAAATGAAATATTTGAATCTTTGTATGCCAAGCTAAGTAGAGTTCTATCTTAACCGATCCCTGTTGGACTCCCTTCAAAAGGATTATTTAGTCGCAGTTTTGTGCAGCAAGATTTTTGCGAAGGTCAGTTAAACAGTATAACATGAAACAGTGCTTTCATAAACTGAAAAATTCCCTATCAATGAGTGCACTTTTATGTTATCCCTAATACACTTTTTTCTTTTATAATCATTACTCTGATGATGTGAGTTTTTTTGCCCCTTAATGATATGGTGCTATGAATTTAATATTGTGTCTACTTTATGAAATAGGCTATTACATAAATTTTTGTGCTTCTTAGAATAAAAACTGTTCTGTGGAATTGAAGGTCAAATGATTCACCTTGTAAGAGGAGTTAGGTTTTGTGCTGTGTGATCACTTTTAATTTGAGTTTCCTTTAAAAACAATTTTTGTCAGAATGTAGATCAAGAAGTTCTAGTACTTATTGTAACAACTCCTAAACTAATGGTACCTACAGAGTACTATTAAGGTTCTCAATTTCCAGCTAATATTTCTCCATACTTTTCCTATCATAGGCATTCTAGACCAATGAGAAACTTTATTTTGATGGATGAGGTGATTTCATGAGTGTGTTGTGTCCTTTCAGAACTACATTTAATGTTTTCATTGATGGACAAGGTTCCCAATGGGATAGAGCCAATGCTGAAAGACTTGGAGGAACATATCATTAGTGCTGGCCTGGCAGATATGGTAGCAGCTGCTGAAACTATTACTACTGTAAGTTTCCTCAATGGCGAGGATGAATGTGTGTCAAGGTTGTTTTTTAAATGTAAGATCGGGTATTTAAAATAGTGATTGATGGCAAAACAGTAATATTGGAACATCTTTTAATATCGAGAAAAAATTTTTTTCGGAGAAGTCCCAAATTTTATCTCTATAATGATTTATTAAAATTACATTTATATTATTTTTTTGTATTGTTTTCTTTTTAAAATCTCATTTGAGTATGAAACATTTTATTTTTAGGACTCTGAGAAATACGTTGAGCAGTTACTTACATTATTTAATAGATTTAGTAAACTCGTCAAAGAAGCTTTTCAAGATGATCCACGATTTCTTACTGCAAGAGATAAGGTATGTTTTCCTGTATATTAACACTACTGTCATAATATTTTTATTTTTATTTATTTTTTTATTTTCTTTTAAATATAACTTATTGTCACATTGGTTTCCATACCACACCCAGTGTTCATCCCAACAAGTGCCCTCCTCCCTGCCCGTCACCCACTTTCTCTTCTCCCCCACCCCCCCCAACTACCCTTAGTTTGTTCTCAGTCCTTAAGATGTTATGTTTTTAAATTTAAAAAAATTTTTTGAAAGAGACAGACCACACGCACGGGGAGGGGCAGAGGGAGAGGGAGAGAGAGAACCTTAAGCAATCTCCATGCCCAGCGCGGAGCCCAACGCGGGGCTCAATCTCACAACCGTGAGATCATGACCTGAGCTGAAATACAGAGCCAGACACTTAACCAGTGAACCACCCAGGTGCCCCATCATAATTTACTTTTAAAAAGAAACTTGCACCATTATGCTACTAAGTTACAAACTGAAAACCTAGCAACTCTTTTTTTTTTTTTTTTTTTTTTTTTTTTTTTTTTTTTTAAATCAGTGGAGGGCAACCATTTTTATTATATTTGGCTTGGTACATGTTTTTGTAAGCATTGGGTATGCTTATGGACTAGAATTTAGTAGAAAGTTGCTCCTTCATTTTTCCAAGAATATTGTCCCGTTTTTTACTCTTACTGATTATTGAATTCCTATTCTTCCCTTCTTCACCCTTCAAGACCCACCTCAAAGTACATTCCTCCTGGAACTTCCTTGATAGCCTGCCTCCCCCGACATCCTGTCCCAAGCAGAGTTGATTCCTCCACCCTCTGCCCTTTTCACAGGACTCCTGGGTATTATGTCACTCACCGTTTCCCTTACCCTTTCTTCTGTCCTTGCTAGCATGGGATAATAACAAAGCATAGAATTATCCTTAGAGTTGTATGTTTTAAAGTGTCGTAAACCTATCACTATAGAAATTACCATCAGTGTTTTTGCTTTGAACTACCTTTCATTATTTCCCAAGTTAGATTTTTTTGTTGTTGTTCTTGTGTCTCTAAAAAGAGAATCAACTTTCTCCAGTAGCGTTGAGGGTTTTTTGTTTTGTTTTCTTCCCCTCTTTCTGTTTGTAGGTGGGTAGGAAGAGAGAGAGAGAGAGGGAGGGAGAGAGAGGAGGAGAGATGTTAAGGGAGGATGGAGGTAGTGAGTTGGTTTGAAATGTTAAATTGAGCGGCTGGCAGAGGCTTCATTGAGGGGACATTAGAATCAAGATTGAAGGTGATTAAGACATGAAGTCATGTGGTATATGAGGGAAGTGTGTTCAGCCAAAGGGGACAGCGGATACAAATGCTGTAGGCAGGAATATCCCTGTCCTATTCCAGGAACAGGGGAGAAAAAGGTCATTGTGGCCTGAGTGGATCAAGTGAGGGGAGAAGAGTAGGAAATGAAGTCAAAGAGATAATAGAGGCCAGATCACGTCAGGCTATGAGCCATGGTAAGGAGTTTGGTTTTTTACCCTGAGTTGGACAGAAAGTCCCTGAAAGGTTCTGAACAGAATGAATATGACTTACGTTTTAATTTTTTTAATTCTATATTTGAGAGCGAGAGAGAGAGCGAGCAGGAGAGGGGCAGAGAGATGGGGGAAGAATCTGAGGCAGGCTCCAGGCTCTGAACTGTCAGCACAGCGCCCAGTGCGGGGCTCGAACTCACAAGCAGTGAGGTCACAACGTGAGCCGAAGTCGGATGCTCAACCAACTAGGCCACCCAGGCGGCCCATATGACTTACATTTTAAAGGATCCCTTGGTTAGGGCACCAGGTTGGCTCAGTTGGTTAAGCGTCTGACTCTTGGTCATGACCTGTGGGCTCAGGTCATTATCTCACCGTTTGTGGGTTTGAGCACCACATTGGGCTCTGCGCCGATGGCCTAGAACCTGCTTGGGATTCTCTCTCCCTCTGTCTCTGCCCCCCTGCCTCTGTCTCTCAAAAATAAATAAATAAACATTTAAAAAAAATTTTTAAAAAAGGATCCCTTGGTTGGGGGACCAGGTTGGCTCAGTTTGTTAAGTGTCTGACTCTTGCTCATGACCTGTGGGCTCAGGTCATTATCTCACCGTTTGTGGGTTTGAGTGCCACATTGGGCTCTGTGCCGATGGCATAGAGCCTGCTTGGGATTCTCTCTCCCTCTGTCTCTGCCCCCCCTCCACCCCGCCTCTGTCTCTCAAAAATAAGTAAACAAACATTTGAAAAAATTTTTTTAAAAAAGGATCCCTTGGTTGCTGCAAAAAGAATAGACTAAGAGGTGCAAGGGAAGAAACAAGAAGAGCAGTTAGGAACCTACTTGGGCAATTCTGTGAAGTAAGGATGGAGGCTCGGCTCGGAACGGTAGCGGGTAGAGGTAGTCATGGTTGGTTGGATACTGATGATGACAGCAAACTACCCAAGATTTGCTAATGAATCAGATGTAGAATGTACTAGAGACCAGAGATGACAGTCCGATTTTTGTTCCGATCGATTAGCAGCATGTGCTTGCTGAGATGGGGAAGGTGATGGGAGAGGCAGTTTGTGGGGGACGGTTGTAGGGAGATTAGGAACTCAGTTTTGGACAAGTTAACTCTGAAAGATTTGTTCAACGTCCATGTGGCAGCGTCACGGCGGCCATGTAAGGGAGAGAATAGACCTGGAATCGTAAATGGGGAGCTTTAGCGTCTGGATGGTATTTAAAGCACGGACGCTGGCTGTGATCCCCAGTGTGATGAGTGATGATAGCAAAGAGATTCAGGGACCAGCCTGGGATAGTCAGTTTGGTTACGAGAAGGATGGAGAAGCAACTCTCCTGAGGTGAGAGAGGGATGCGTGGAATGACCAGGAGAGTGCACTGTGGGAGGAGACAAGTGGGAGGAGCACTTTGAGGAGGAGGCTGTGATCTGCTGTTTTAAAATGCTGCTGAGAGGTCAGATGGGATGGGCATCGGCCGTTGTCTTCAGCAACATGGAGGTGGTCAGTGACCTGGCGAGAACAGTTAGCGGAGCTGTGGCGCGAAAGCCTGGTCCTGGAAGGTTTTCCCAGGAGGAACGGCAGTAGAGAAATTGGAGACCGTGGGCTGCGCACTTTATCCATTAGTCGAGCTTAAAGAGAGAGGTAAATGAGGCTGTGGCTGAAGGTGAACAAAGGCAAGAGAGAATTTTCAAGATTTAAATAACGGTACGTGTGTATGGCGAGGCTGCAGAAATGGTGGGTGGGGGGGAAAAGTGAAGATAGAGAAGAAATGGGAGGGAATTCTGATCACTTCAGTTTTATTAGGAAAATAGGAAGCCACCTCATCAGCAGGAAGTCTCCCTGGGAGAGGAAACATTGGAGGCTGAAGAGAAAGGAGATGGTACGAGATGTGTTCTGGGAGAGCGTCTTGACAAGAGAAGGTGGGGTGGCGGTCAGGCAGCACTAAGACCCCGCTTGAGAATAACGACAATCATAGCATCAGGAGGGGCATGAAGTCATTGACTTGAGAAATTGTGTCAGGCCAGGTACACCATTAAAATATCTAGCTGTACATTAAAAAACACAAGGGTAGGGGGCGCCTGGGTGGCTCAGTCCATTAAGCATCCAACTTCGGCTCAGGTCACGATCTCACCATTCATGAGTTCGAGCCCCACATCGGGCTCTGTGCTGACAGCTCGAAGCCTGGAGCCCGCTTCGGATTCTGTGTCTCCCTTTCTCTCTGCCCCTCCCCTGCTCACACTCTGTCTCTCTCTCTCTGTCTCTCTCAAACATTTAAAATAAATAAATAAAATATCTAGCTGTATTTTCAAAACAAAAAATAATGCTCATTACATTTTAAATTCTTTACAGGCATATAAAGCAGTTGTTAATGATGCTACCATATTTAAACTTGAATTACCTTTGAAGCAGAAAGGGTAAGTCTTTAAAAATCATGTTTAAAATTCTTTCATTTTTTGGAGTGTCTTATACATTATTGAATATGCAAACTGTTAGGTTTCATTTTTGTTGTTGTTGTTTTGTTTTTACTATAATGATTTTTGTTGCCGTTGAATATTAACAATTGTCTCACATTTTTGAGGGAAAAAACTGTCTTGAATTTTAATTTCATATTAAATTATCTCTTTTTGTGACCAAAAAACGTTGATCTTATTTTTTTAAGTGGAAAAATGTTCTGCTGACTTGACAGAATTTAAGAGGGCATCTGTCCTGTTTTCTTTATACATTGTGAAATATATAAAACACATAAACACTACATTTTCAGAATCTCTTCATATGGATACATAAAGGTCTTCCTCATTCATCCCTGCCCCCCGCGTTTTTTACCAAAAATTTTCAAATTTCTGTCACCTGTTGCTTTGTGAAATATGTATCTCTGTATACATCATCAGTCAGCTTTTTAAATGGATTTCAAAAGAAATTTCAGGCACAAGTAACTTTCGCTCCCTGAACACTTCAGCAGACGATCATTAATTGAATATGGTGTCGGTATATGTGTTCAGGTAAAATTTACATGCGGACAGATACATAAATCCCAAGTGTCCGGTTCTGTGAGACCTGACAAATGCCTGCACCCCTGGTACGATGGACCGGATGTTCATCATCCTCAAGAATCTCCCCACACCCGTTCCCTGTCAGTCCTACCCCGTCCTCTTCCAGAGACAGCCATTCTGATGATTTCGGCCGAGATTAGTTTTGCCTCATCTGGGACTTTATGTAAATGGAATCATACAATATGCACTTCTTTTTGTAAAGCTTCTTTGAGTGCAGCATAGTGGTGTTGAGATTCAGGTGTGTGCCGGCATATCACAGCGGCTCGTTTCCCACGTGTGCGTGAGACTTTACACTCCCACCAGTGACGTGAGGGCGTGCTAGTCGATCTGCGTTCTTACCAGCAGTTAGAGTTGTCATTTTCATTTCAGTCGTTGTAGAGTTTGTAGTGATTGTCTCATTATGGTGTCAGTTCCATTTCCTGTGACTATTGTTGTTGAGCACATTTTCGTGTATCATTTCACCTTCTTATATTAAAAATTTTTTTTAATGTTTATTTTTGAGAAAGTGAGAGAGCATGAGCACAGGGCAAGGGCAGAGAGAGAGGGAGACAGAGGATCCACGCAGGCTCCAGGCTCTGAGCTGTCAGCACAGAGCCTGGTGTGGGGCTTGATCTCATGAACTGTGAGATCATGACTTGAGTTGTTCAGATGCTTAACTGACTGAACCACCCAGGCGCCCCTAGCCTTCTTGCATTTTCCTTTATAAAGTATCTTTTTTGTCTGGTTTTTTTTTTTTTTTTTTTTTTTTTTTTTTTTTTTTTTGCCCATTGCATTGTTCCTTTTTCTTAGTGAGCTATAACAGTTCTTACATATTCTTTGAAATATAGATCATTTGAGAGATATGTGCTTTTCTTTTATGGTTTTTTGCTTTTTATGTTTCATCTAGAAAACTTCGTTTACCTCTACCCCTGAGACATGAAGATAATCTCTTTTATTTCTTCTAGAAGCTTTATCATTTTAGCTTTCACATTTAGTTCTAGGATCCATCTTAAATTAATGATTATGTATAGTGTGAGTCAGGGGTTAAATCTGACTTTTTTTCTTTTCCACGTGGGTAACAAGTGGTTCTATCACCATTTATTGGAATTACTTTCCCTCCCCACTGCATTGCTTTGGGACCTTTTGTCAAAATCCAATCACTCAAAAATATGTACGTTGGGGCGCTCAGGTGGCCCAGTCGGTTAAGCGTCTCACTCTTGGTTTCGACTCAGGTCATGATCCCATAGTTCGTGACATGGAGTCCCACATCAGGCTCTGTGCTGACAATGCAGAGCCTGCTTGGGATTCTCTCTCTCCCTCTCTCCCTGACCCTTCCCACTCTCACTCTATTTCTCTTCTGTCTCTCTCTCAAAATAAGTAAACTTTGTAACTTTTTTTTTTTTTTTGAGAGAGAAAGAGAGCGAGCATGAGCGGGGGAAGGGCAGAGAGAGCGGGAGATACAGAATCTGAAGCAGGTTCCAGGCTCTGAGCTGTCAGCACAGAGCCTGACGCGGGGCTCAAACCCGTGAACCACGAGTTCATGACCTGAGCCTAAGTCGGATGCCCAACTGACTGAGCCACCCAGGCCCCCTCAAAATAAATAAACTTTAAAACGAAATATGTATGTATTTCTGGGCTCTCTATTCTATTCCATTGATTTGTTTAGGTATTCTTAGGCCATTATTATATAGTCATAATTAATATAGTTCTGTAGTAAGTTTTAAAGTCAGGTAGTATAATTTATCCGTAGGTAAACAGTTGATTTTAGTATATTGATCTTATATCCTGTTACCTTGTGGAAGTTATTAGTTCTTATAGTTGTTTTGCAGATTTCTTAAGGTTTTCCTGTGTAAATAATCATGTAATCTGTAAATATACAAGTTTTATATCTTCCTTTCTGATTTTTATACCACTTACTTTTCTTGCCTTGATAAACTGGTTAGGATTATAAGTACATTTTTAGGGGCGCCTGGGTGGCTCAGTCAGTTAAGCGTCCGACTTCAGCTCAGGTCGTCCTTCAGCGGTCGTGGTTCGAGAGCCCATAGGGCTCTGGGCTGATGGCTTCCAGGAAGCCCACGGAGCCATTGTGTCCTCCCTCTCTCTCTGCCCCTCCCCCGTTCGTGCTCTGTCTCTCTCTGTCTCAAAAATAAATAAACGTTAAAAAAAAAATTAAAAAAAAAAAAGGATTATAAGTACATTTTTAGATAAATGTAGTTAAAGTGGGCATTCCTGTCATTTTGGCAAGCTGGAGCAGAAAGCCTTTAATATTTCATCACTAATTACAAAGTTAGCTGGTTTTTCATAGATGCCCTTAATTAGATTGCTTTTTATTCCTAGCTTGCTAAAAGTTTTGATAATAAATCAACGGGTATTGACTTTTATTAAATACTTTTTTTCTGTGTTGAAATGCTTAAGGTTTTTTTTTTTTTTTCCTGTATTCTTCTGATGTGGTGAATACATTGGTTACTTAAAAAAAAAAAATTTGGGGCGCCTGGGTGGCTCAGTTGGTTAAGCGGCCGACTTTGGCTCAGGTCGTGATCTCACCATTCATGAGTTAGGAGGAGGCCAGCGTCGAGGCTCTGTGCTGATAGCTTGGAGCCTGGAGCCTGCTTCTGTTTCTGTGTCTCCCTCTCTCTCTGCCCCTCTTCTGCACTCTCTATTTCAAAAATAAACATTTAAAAAAATTGTTTTTATTTGTACACAAATGTTTGTAGCAGCATTATTCTTAATAGCCTTCCGCAAAAGGACAACCCAAATGCCCATTGTCTGGTGAAGGGGTAAGCAAAATATGGTACAGCCATGCAGTGGACTGTCCTTGAGCCATAAAATGGAATGAGAATCTGATACATGCTACAACATGAATGAAGCCCTGAGAAGTGCTAAGTGGAATAGGCCACACACAGAAGGACAAATATTGTGTGATTCCACTTATATAAGGTATCTAGAATAGGCAGGTCCATTAATAGAGTAGAGTAGATATCTGCTGGGACTTGGTGGGGGTGGGGAGAGGGAACTGGGAAGTTACCGTTTAATGGATGTAGGGTTTCTGTGTAGGGCAGTGAACAAGTTTTGGGTACGGATAGTGGCGATGTTTGCAGAACATTTTGAATGTACTTACTGCCACTGGATTGTAAACTTACAAATGATTAAAACAGTAAATGTGTTTTACCACAATAAAGTAAATATTTTTTAAAAGGAATGAACCAGCAATATGTGCTACGATATGGACGAATCTTAAAAACATTATCCTAATTTTAAAAGGTCAGTCACCAGAGAGCACACATTGTATGATTCCCTTTATATGAGGTGTTCAGAAAAAGGAGATCCATAAAGATAAAAGGTAGAATACTTGTAACCAGCGCTGGGAGGGAGGGGTGACTGGCGAATGGCATTTGGCTAATGAGTGTGGGGTTTCTTTTGTAGGTAATGAAAATGTTTTAAAATTTTATTATGGTGGTTGCACAAGTTTATAGATATACTTAAAAACTTCGACTTGCATACTTTAAATGGATGAACTGCATGGTATGTGAATTATATCTTAGTAATGACAAGCGTAAATAGATAATAAGTGATAGGGAACAAATAATACACATTAATGAACAAATAGGTGGAAATTGTTACCGAGAAAAGGTAACATGTCTATAGCAATATGTAATTGGAATTAGAGCAGAAAAGGGGACATAAGCAGTATTTGAAGAGTTATTGGCCATAAATTTCCAGAATTGATGAAAGCTGCCAACTCTTAAGATTCTCTTTGAATCCCAAGCAAGATAAATACAAATTAAATCAGTACGTCATAGTGAAACAGCTGGAAAACTGAAAAGAAACAAAAAAGCCCTAAAACAGCCCCAGGAGAGGAAATGACACGCTGCCTTCCCAGAGTCAAGGATGAAGGACTGACCTCTGTCTTCCCAGCAGGGTGAATTGGAGGAAGGGAGATGATGGATCGCTGCAGACTTGGCAGGAGTTCGTGCGGGAGCTAGGCACTGGCAGTGCGGGAGGATGAAGGTAGAGGGATAGGAAGTAAGTTAGCGGTCTTCCCACTGGCCCATGTCTACGTCAGGGATGCAGAAAACCTTTCTAGCGAGTGCCAGTTAGAAACCTTAAAGGAAATGCGTTCTTCAGTCCTCCGCTTCCGCATCTGCTCTTTTCTAAACTGGCGCCCTCTGGTGGAAGTATCGTTACGATTTGCCCTTTCCACTTCTCCCCACAATTAGTCTTCCCTGCTGTACAAAGAAAGGTGCACCTCTCCTTATTCTTAGTATGGTGTGTTGCCTTGAAACATAAAAAGCCCCCTTGGTCGGTTAGATGATCGGCTCTTGATTTCAGCTCAGGTTATGATCTCACGGTTCGTGGGATCGAGCCCCACATCAGACTCCGTGCTCAGTGCAGAGACTGCTTGGAATTCTCGTGCTCTCTCTCAAAATAAATAAATAAACATTTAAAAAAGCCTTCGTGGGGCGCCTGGGTGGCGCAGTCGGTTAAGCGTCCGACTTCAGCCAGGTCACGATCTCGCGGTCCGGGAGTTTGAGCCCCGCGTCAGGCTCTGGGCTGATGGCTCAGAGCCTGGAGCCTGTTTCCGATTCTGTGTCTCCCTCTCTCTCTGCCCCTCCCTCGTTCATGCTCTGTCTCTCTCTGTCCCAAAAATAAATAAAAACGTTAAAAAAAATAATAATAAATAAAAAAATAAAAAAGCCTTCGAGTTGCGTAAGAAAGGAATATTTTGAAATATTGGTATTGATGTACAGAAAATGGATTCCTTTTTTTTTTTTTTAAGTTTAGTTATTTGTTTTGAGCGAGAGAAAGAGCACAAGTGGGGTAGGAGCAGAGAGAGATGGAGAGAGAATTCCAAGCAGGCTCTGTGCTGTCAGAGTCCTGTGTAGGGGCTCAAACACAAATCGTGAGATCACGACCTGAGCTGAGATCAAGAGTCCAATGCTTAACCAGCTGAGCCATCCAGGCACCCCCAAGAAATGAATTTCTTATAACTAAGTATCAGATCCTTTTGCAAGTCATAGGGTTTCCAGTTCTTTGCTTTCCACACAATTGATGGCTAGTTTGATGCATTAGTAAAAATAACCTTTTGTGTTAGATCTGTATGTATTTTTTTAAGCCAGTAACTCGGAAGGTTCTCAACAAGTTGAGTGACATCAGAAAAACTTCCTGTCTCATGTACTTACTTATGAGAATAAGATCCTTCAGGACAGATATATTTATAAAGATAAAAAAGTAGAAATAAAAGTAATTTCTGGGTTCATAAGTTGGAGGAAAAAAGTTTCATCTCCCTCAGTAAGAGTTGACTCAAACAGTAACGTACTGCCTATGTTTTATACATACAAGCATTACAAGTTTGTTATTTTGGAAAGTTGTGTACTTAAAATAATTTGGTTAATTCAATTCTGGGAAAATAACATGTAAGTTTTATATACACGAATTTTGAAATGTTGAATTTAAATTTATTTCATACATAGTTTAGAGAAGTAAGATAAAGAACTTTAAAGCATAAAAATGTAGTACACTGGCTTTTAAGTTTTGTTGGCAAAGTAAAATAGAGCTAAAAGTTCTTCATTGTTTAAGAAAAGTTTGTTTACAGTTTTTGAAAATGGATGATGGTAGATATCACATAACGAATTTAGGTTACATTGGATACATTTCAGAGAATGACGTAACTTTTTTCTTGACATATTAATAATGAAAAGTTTTTAATGTTAACTTAAAAATATGCAAGGACTTACATACTTTTTCAGAAGTATTTAGCAAGTAAGTACCTGAAGAAAAGTTTTTAAAGATTATTGGCAAGGCTACCAGTAGACAGGCCCTCACCCAGGATACAGATTACTTCGAGGTCTCCCTCTCAGGGCCCTGCCGGCCCTGGGAACCTGAGATGAGGGCCTCCTTAAGTTATGCCCCCTCATTGTCTTGCTCATGAAAAATTGGCCCTAGAAAAAATATTTGCAGGGAGCACCTGGGTGTCCCAGTCGGTTGGACTTCGGACTCGATCTGGGATCAGGACATGATCTCATGGTTCATGGGTTTGAGCCCCATGTCAGTCTCTGCACTGACAGTGTGGAGCCTGCTTGGGATTCTCTTTCTCCCTCTTTGTCTCTCTGCCCCTCCCCTGCTCTTGTTCGTTCTCTCTCTCTCTCTCAAAAATAAACGGTGAAAAAAAAATATTTGTAGATACCAGTCACTTTTCATCAACTGCTTTTATTTTGTTTTTTAGGGTGGGATTAAAAACTCAGCCTGAATCAAAATGCCCTGAGCTGCTTGCCAATTACTGTGACATGTTGTTAAGAAAAACACCATTAAGCAAAAAACTAACCTCTGAAGAGATTGAAGCAAAGCTTAAAGAAGTGGTACATATCTTTTCTTTTATTTCAGAAATTTTAATTATCTTACTTTGAATTTGTGTTTTGCTTGTAAGACTTTCTGTGATAGCATCACATTTTTTAAAATTTATCTAATTCTAAATTTATCTAATATCTAAACTTTTAAAAGATTATCTATGAGCAGCTAATATGAAATTTTACAATGTGAGATCTCTATAGGGCAGTTGTTTTTCTTCCTGGAGGTTTTTACTTTGTAGCTTCTAGAAAGGAAAATAGATTTAATTCTTCCCCCTTCTTGATTGTTTTGAAGGAATTCAGTACCAGCTTCTATTAAAGGACAAAGAAGGGGGAAATGGGGCTGATGGTGTTTGGAATGGCAGTGGAGAGACTAGGAGTTTTTCACCTCTTTCTTTTTGTGAGAGCCCAGGATAGGTGTTTCAACACCAGTGAGTGACGGGAAGAGTTAGTTGCTTTCATTTTTGTATCCTGGCTGTTAGTGTAATATGCCGTAAGTCCAGGAATACAGAGAGGAAGAAAAACAAGAAGTAAAGATAGAGAATATAGACAATAGAAGATGAGTGTCAGAAAAAGATTTTACAGAAGAGAAAATTGGGGGAGAACCCTTAATTTTCATGTAAAGTTTTATTACATTGCATATGAAATCTGGAAATTTGATGTTTATAGAAACTAAAAGGTTATTTGATTACAGTCTCAAATTTGCTAATTGTTTAGTAAAATAGTGTGTCAGGACTGGTTATTTTTCAGACACGGGCAGTTCAGTAGACCTCTCTCTGTATATACTCATGTAAATTTCTGGACTTTGACATTGGGGGATATGGAAAGGGCTCAGTGAAAGAGGTGGCGAAGAGTGCACATGAATTGAAAGTAACTCTGTTTTCTGTACAGCTGTTGGTACTTAAATACGTACAAAATAAAGACGTTTTTATGAGATATCACAAAGCTCATTTGACGCGACGTCTTATATTAGACATCTCTGCTGATAGTGAAATTGAAGAGAATATGGTAGAGTGGCTAAGAGTAAGTAAATTTTTTAATATTTGTTTTCCTTACTATAGCACATGGTTCTTATGTGTGCTCAAGTGATGTTGTTAGTGTTGAAGAAGTAGGGGATGTTTTATAAGAACATGGCATCAATTATGTAAAATAGGTATCTAATAAAGTATATTTTCTTAATAAAGACTTTTAGTGAAACACCTTTGCTCTTGTTGTGCTTTTGATGTTTTGCTCTTTTCTCTTTCCACTTCCATTTGAACTGACCTTATTAAATGGGTTATAGGACAGATCATTACATTGTTAAGGTATTTTCAGTAGTAAATGCGTAACTGTAAGTAAAGGCTTTTGTATAGGCAAAAGAACCAATACGTAAAAGACGATGGTTTATTTAGGATAATCACTGCTAATTTAATCGTAACTAAATTCTCATATCAAAATATTTTAAGTCTGTTCCTGTCAGTTCACTGTAATGAATATCTTTTACTTATATATATGGTGTTAATGATTTATAATACGATTTTATTAATACATAGCAAGATTGTATATAGTGTGTGTAGTTATATATATATTTTATATATATGTCTTTCATTTATATATGTATTTCAAAATACACATTTACATTTACACATTGCCCTGCTTTGCATGATACTTACAGGATAGTAAAAATTACCCTGCAAACCGACAGTGTGCAAAATGATCTTAATATATTAACAGTCAGTGGGAAAAATTATTTTGTGACTGAGAAATTTCTGTCAAAACATTAGAAACTCTCTGTTATAAATATATAGGAAGAAGGGGCACCTGGATGGGTCAGTCACTTAAGCATCTGACTTCAGCTCAGGGCATGATCTCTCGGTTCATGAGTTCAACCCTTGCATCAGGCCCTATGCTGACAGCTCAAAGCCTGAGTCTGCTTTAGATTCTGTGTCTCCACCGCTCTCTGCCCCTCCCCCACTCACACTCTGTCTCTCTTTCAGAAAAATACATTTAAAAAATTGAAAATAAATATATATATATATAGGAAAAAATTTGTAAATGAATATGTATTTAGTATACTGTAATTTATAACATAAACTTTCATAAACATAAAGTACTACTATTTCTTTGTAGAAACTTAATACTGCTTAGGAAGTTATTTGCAATTCATATGTCCAGTGTCATATGTAGAATATATAAAGAACTCTTACAACTCACCAGTGAAAAGTTAAAAATGGGCAAAGGATTAAAAGAATAGACATTTCTTCACAGAAGATATTCAGGTGGCCAATAAGCGTATTAAAGATGTTCGACATCATTAGTCATTAGGGAAATGCAAATCAAAGCCACAATGAGATACTTTCCTCCTCCTTTCCTCCCTAGGGAAGCTAAAATTAAAAAGACAGTAACAAGTGTTGGCGAGGAAGAGGAGAAATTGGAATCTCATGCTTTGCTGATGAGAATATAAATTGGTGCAGTCACTTTGGAAAACTCTGGCAGTTGCTCAAAAAGTTAAACAGAGTTGACCCAGCAGTTCTGTTCCTAAGTAACTCCGCTCAAGCGTATGACCACACAAAGCCGTGTCTATGAATGTTCGTAGCGGCATTATTAATAAGAGCCACAAAGTGGAAACGGCTCAAAGTGCTGTTCATCTGATGAAAGGATAAGCGAAATGTGGATTAATCATACAATGGAATATTTCTTAGTAGTTAGGAGAAAGGTAGTACTGCCACATGCTACAACGTGAATGATTGTTGACATCGTCATGCTCAGCGAACGAATTCCGTTACAAAGACCACCTAGTATATGATTCCCCTAATTCCCAATGTCCACCGTAGCCAAATCCATAGAGACTCTGTAAATACACTAAATACACTAAATCTATAGAGACTCTGTAAATACATTAGAACCTACTTAATTGTACACTGGAAAAGAGTGAGTTTTGTGACAGATGCATTATATCTCAGGAGAGCCGTTGTGTAAATGAAGGATCGTTTGACTAGCACGTGCTTTCTTGTCATGTGGCTTAGAACACAGAATGAGCATCATCCATGCGCCTGGGAGAGTTGTCATTGTCTCTGTAGGTTTGGGTCAGCTTCCAGCCTGTTGTTTTTGGGCGCTCAGGGTCGTGAAAGTTTTTGCTGGTGCCACTTCAGCATCTTATCATTATTATTGTTATTATTGTCACTGCTCCTTTTGTTTGTGCTGATAATTTGCCTTCACTAAGTTCCCCTGCCTGTGTATTTAGTCTTCATCATTGGCAAGTATCAACATTACAACTTCAGATCGCTCTTCTAGAATTTCATTTAGGTTCTGTTTATTTTCATTTCCAGCTTTATTTTTATTTCTTTGGTGTGCTTTTATCATCTTCATTGGCCATTGAGCTCACTTGATTATCCATTTTTATAAAATGTCAAGTGGATCTGTCACTGTGCTTTGCTTTCTGTGGGTGAACTGAATAAACAGATGACTAACAGATTTCGAAAGGCGGATGGTGATTGGTCACTGATGAGAAGTAAATTTGTGTATTACTCATATTTAATATACGGTGATAACCGAAAGTTGAGCTGTGTTGTTGGAGGACTGGTGTAATTTAACTATACTGTGGTGACTGATTCATGCACATTGAACTCATGCAGAGAAAGCCTGGGTTACCTGTATTCTCTTGTTTAGTTTTTAAGAATCAAATTTAATAGATATTAGACTGTGAATATTCTAATAAATAAATTTAATTTTATATTAAAGCTTCTATGTATTATTGTTCATTACCTCTTTTGTCTTTGCTTTTCGTAGGAAGTTGGTATGCCCGCAGATTATGTAAATAAGCTTGCTAGAATGTTTCAGGACATAAAAGTGTCTGAAGATTTGAACCAAGCTTTTAAGGAAATGCACAAAAATAACAAATTGGCTTTACCAGGTATTATTTTATAATTACATATATTATGTATATAGGCTTTCTTAAAGAGAATATCTTTGTTTTCCAGTAAATTAGAATTGAACCTTAGGGGCGCCTGGGTGGCGCAGTCGGTTAAGCGTACGACTTCAGCCAGGTCACGATCTCGCGGTCCGTGAGTTCGAGCCCCGCGTCAGGCTCTGGGCTGATGGCTCGGAGCCTGGAGCCTGTTTCCGATTCTGTGTCTCCCTCTCTCTCTGCCCCTCCCCCGTTCATGCTCTGTCTCTCTCTGTCCCAAAAATAAATAAAAACGTTGAAAAAAAAAAAATTAAAAAAAAAAAAAAAAGAATTGAACCTTAGTAGTAATAGGTACAAAGATGTTACAAAGTCCACATTCCTTGAAGACATCTGGCAAAACAGAATTTAACAGAATTTAGATTCGTAATCTTTATTTTTATGTATGTATCTATATGTATGTATGTATTATTTTTAATAGCCACTACTCACTTGCCTGAGTTTTACAGGTTTCAGATCCAGTCACATGAAGAGAATAACTTCTTTTTTTTTTTTAAGTTTTATTTTTATTTAAATAATCTCCACACTCAACATGGGGCTCATACTCACGACCCTGAGGTCGAGTCCCATGCCCCCCTGACTGACTGAGTCAGGCAGGCGCCCCTCTAATCCTTTTTTTTTTTTTTAAAGGCACCTTTAAATCTTAAGGGTTTTATTTTTCACCAAAGCTTATCCAGTATGTACATATTTAATTTCTTTTGAATTTTATCCATTTTCAAGATTATTTACTTCATATTTCCTGATATTCCTACTTATAGCTGATTCGGTTAATATAAAAATTCTGAATGCTGGTGCATGGTCAAGAAGCTCTGAGAAAGTCTTTGTCTCCCTTCCTACTGAACTGGAGGATTTGATACCTGAAGTAGAAGAATTCTACAAAAAAAATCATAGTGGTAGAAAATTACATTGGCATCATCTCATGTCAAATGGAATTGTAAGTAGATGGTGTGTTAGTTCAGATATTGGTTTGACTGAAAGTACCAGGACTCCAAGTAAGAGTTGATTAAACAAGATAGATCTTTGTTTCTCTCCCGTGTAAAAGTTTGAACACGTGCAGTGGATCTAGCCCAGGAAGTTGTTAGGGACTTAGCTTCTGGTTGTATCACCATGCTTAAGGTATCGCTCTTGTCTGCAGAATCCAGTGTGATGCCCACTGTGGCTGTCTTCCAGCCCAACAGGAAGGGAAAGATGAAAGTATTCCTTACTTTAGAAGCAACTTCTAGAAGTTTCCCCCATCATTTCCACTCACCTCTCATTGGGCAGAACTAGTCACAAGACCACATTTCGCTCCTTGAAAGCTGGAAGATGAGCCTTTATTCTGGGCGGTCATTAAGGTCTGCTAAAATTGTTACTACTGTGTAGGAAAGGAAAAATATATATTGGAAGACAACTGCCAGTCTTTTCCATGGATAATCTCATGTAAGGAGAATATTCTAGCAGGGAGGTGGTAATCATCCTGAAGAGATTTTTACCTTTATATTACTTTCTCTCTTGCAGATAACATTTAAGAATGAAGTAGGGCAATATGATTTGGAGGTAACAACATTTCAGCTGGCTGTGTTGTTTGCATGGAACCAAAGACCCAGAGAGAAAATCAGCTTTGAAAATCTAAAACTTGCAACTGAACTGCCTGACGCTGAGCTTAGAAGGACTTTATGGGTTTGTTTCATGTTTTTTTTGTTTTTAAAGTGTATCCATTTACATAGCAGGAAATATTTGATGGCTTATCATAAATTTATGAATTCATAACACTCTGCAAATGACCTTTAACCAAGAAAAAAAAAAACGCTAATGAGGTGTTAATACATAAATGAGGTATTCATGGTAAAAAAAAGAAATTGAAAATAAGCAAGTTACCAAGATAATGAAACAGGGGGAAAAAATGGAGAGTTGAGGTGCATGGGTGGTTCAGTCTGTTGAGCACCTGACTCTTGATCTCGGCTCAGGTCATGATTTCATGGTTCATGAGTTTGAGCCCCACGTCGGGCTGCGCTGGCACCATGGAGCCCGCTTGGGATTCCTTCTCTGCCCCTCCCTTACTCATGCTTGCTCGCTCTCTCTCAAAAATAAATAAATAAACTTAAAAAGCCGGGGGGGGGGGCAGGGTGGAGAGAAAGATTGAGTTGGTGTTTAAATCTTACCTGTGAGGAATGTGACCAGAAATTTCATACTAAGAATGTGTTCAAAGATTTTATGACCGAAAATGCAAGAATTAGGAAACTTTGGTCTTTTCAAGGGCTTGTAAAATGTACTCATTAGTCTCCTGCTCATAGCTGCATGTTACCCCTACTCCATAGACCTGTTAGAAGTTCCAGAATAAATAATGTCTAGAGCGAAATAGCTGGTGCGTCAGTGGCAAGTTGGTTTTGTTGAGCTCGTGTATGACCGATCCCTGCAGTCTGTGTCTTCCTGTGAAGGGATCATTTAGTGCTTCCCTCCTCGTGAGCTGCCCCCCTCCTTGTCCTTTCCTCGCCATACATTCACAGTGTTGGACTGGTCGAGGCACCAGGCAGAAGTTGGTTGTGATTTTGTTAGCCATGTTGGAGAACTGATCTTGGTATTTCATACCATTTATAGATGGTAATTGTTTTCTCTTTCTTCTTCGTAGTCTTTAGTAGCTTTCCCAAAGCTCAAGCGGCAAGTTTTATCGTATGAACCTCAAGTCAACTCACCCAAAGACTTTACAGAAGGCACCCTCTTCTCGGTGAACCAGGAGTTCAGTTTAATGTAAGGCTGATGTTGGTTGATGTAAAATAAAAATGCCTTGTTTGACTTTGGTGTTTTATTGTTAGCAAAATGGTTGTTTTCCTTACGTTACTTTTAAGACATATGTACACTGACATCGCTCCAGGTTTCTGCCATTTAGTTGTTCATTAAACATACTGAGGACTGGAGATGTTCACTTGTGTACGTGTTTTTCATGGGTACATTTTGGTATCTGATGATACTGCTTTTCATCTTTAAGCATCCGTTTGCACTCTAAAGAAGCTCTATTCACACAAATCACTTTTTCTCCTTAAGATCCATTTTAGATGATAATGCTGAATAACAGCCCATATATTTCCAACTATCTCAGCTCTCTCGTGGCAATGTAAATTACATTAGCTTTGTTATTACAGGGCCTGTTGTCACCCATATTTTATTAACTGAACCTTTGTTGTCTTTGGGGGAAATCCTATGGTTCATTTTAAAGCTATCTGTTGATTATTGGTAACTTTTCCTTTGAACAGTTCTAGTATAGTAGTCTTCAGAAAATTTCTGTATCTTTTTTCTCAGACATTGTTGCTGTAATATGTTTAAAAGGCTTTCCACTGTAAAATATTTGATTCAATGTTTTTTATAGAAAAAATGCAAAAGTTCAGAAAAGAGGTAAAATCAACTTGATTGGACGCTTGCAGCTCACTACAGAAAGGATGCGAGAAGAGGAGAATGAAGGGATAGTTCAGCTACGAATACTAAGAACCCAGGTTTGTGACGTTAAGACAGAATGTCTACGTTTTGAAAAAAATTGCATTTTTGGGGTATCTATTTGTTATTTAAATTTTAATGACTACACAGTGCAGTATTGGTTTCAGAAATTTTTCTCTTTTTTTATCTTCAGATGTTTAAAAAAAATTTTAAAGCATGTAGTAGGTATTCCACCTGTAATGAAGAACTAATTTTCACTTTACTGGAACTTAAAAATTGTATTGCTGACCTTATCTTAGCTGCTGCAAGAGATGTCTGTATGTCTTGGTGGCCTCTGGTAGATTTTTTTTGTTTTTTTTAATGTTTATTATTTTGAGAGAGAGAGAGAGAGTGCAAGTATGGGAGGAGCAGAGAGAGAATCCCAAGCAGGCTCCATGCTTACAGTGCAGAGCCCTACGCAGGGCTCGATCCCACGACTGCAAGGTCACAATCTGAGCCAAAATGACGATCCGGACCCTTAACCAACTGAGCCACCCAGGTGCCACCTCCCCTCCTCCCCTCCTCCCCTCCCCACCTCCCCACCGGTAGATTCTATCTGTTGGGCAAAACCTTGGTTTTAGGTTGTGTCTGCCTTTGACCATGACTGATTAACTGTGTGTCAGCAATAAGTTACAATTCTAGGATTGAAGTATTCAAATTCTTATGTAAGTCTTATAATTTCATTGAAGTGTGAAATGAGGGAATACTTTAAAAAAGTTTTCTTTTAAGTTTTATTTATTTATTTTTAGAACTCTCCACGCGAACGTGGGGCTTCAGCTCATATCCCCAAGATCTAGAATAGCCTGCAGACTGAGCCAGCAAACATTTTAAAGCTAAGATTGTGATCCTTCTGAACATATGAAGAGTGCCTGTTGCAGACTGATATGTGTCCATTCTAACTTTAGGAGTATTCTTATTACAACCAAGTGATCCCACTTTCACTATTTTTATTGAATATTATTTGAAACTCCTGGCCAATTCAGTAAAAAATGAAAAGAGGAAAGATGAACATTTTTCATTACTTAGCGTACAATATGATAAAGTAGTGGAGAGAAAGGAATAAAAGCCGGTTGCTTTTCTGTTTAGCAATAAACATGTTTAAATTTTAAAAGCTTAAGAGAAAAATGAAACCATAGACCCCATAGGCACTTTTTTAATGAGTCATGTTGACAGCCTGTGTGAAGAGGGTGGCCATCCCTAGGGGGTTCAGAAGGAGATTTGAATAAATAGATGTTGCTCTTTTTTTTTTTTTTTTTACTAAAACTTTATATTGAGGTGTAATTTACATATGCTACAATGTACATTTCACAGTTTAGTTGTCGTTGAGTTTGGATAAGTGTACGTACCTGGGGACCATCACCTAAGATACACAGCGTTTGTGTCACTGCAGCCAGCCCCGCCTCCAACCGGACTCCTGTCCCATTGCCTGGTTTTGCCTTTTTTGGCTCACCATGGAATACCACATTTTTCAGTGACAAGGCTGTTACTTAAGGAGTCAATTTTGTCCATGATAAAAGTTCAGCTAGGGGGTTGTCTGGGTGGCTCAGTCGGTTAAGTATCTGACTTTAGCTCAGGTCGTGATCTCACGGTTCGTGAGCGTGAGCCCCACTTTGGGCTCTCTGTTGTCAGTATGGAGCCTGGAGCCTGCTTTGGATCCTCTTTCCCCCTCTCTGTCCCTCCATGGCTCACACTCTTCTCTCTCAAAAATGAATGGACCTGAGGGGCGCCTGGGTGGCTCAGTTGGTTAAGCGTCTGACTTTGGCTCAGGTTCATGGGTTTAAACCCCACGTCAGGTTCTGCTGACAGCTCAGAACGTGGAGCCTGCTTCAGATTCTGTGTCTCCCTCTCTCTGCCCCTCCCCTACTTGCACTCTGTCTCTCTCTCCCTCAAAAATAAATAAACATTAAAAAAAATAAATGGACAAATTGATTCTCAGTTTTATGACAAAGAATATAAATGAGTGTTTGTGATTCTTAAAAAAAGGTAAGAATAAGGTGTTAGTGGAACTTGCCAAGTGTTACAACTTAGTAAAATATCTGCAAAAATAAAACAGTATGACAGGCAGATTAGTTGAGGAAACTAACTCAGAAGTGAACCTACTATGTAAGTATAGATGAACTTTACCATAAAGGAAATAATTTCCATGGGCTGTGAAAGGGAACGGATTATTCAGTAAGAGATTTTAGAGAGTTTTACGTTTGGGGTGAAAAATCTGGGTATAGTCCTGGTGTATGGCTAGACCAGGATAAATTCCAGATGGATTTCAGCTGAGCTGTGTGACGGGTTGTCAAGTATAGTCCTTCCATAAGATGTGCAGAGGGGCGCCTGAGCGGCTCGGTCGGTTGAGCGTCCGACCTCAGGTCATGATCTCACAGTTCGTGGGTTCGGGTCCCACACTGGGCTCTGTGCCGACAGCTCAGAGCCTGGATCCTGCTTCCGATTCTGTGTCTCCCACTCTCTCTCTGCCACTCCCCTGTTCTGTCTCTGTCTCAAAAATAAACAAACATTTAAAAAAAATTTTTTTTTAATTCAGTTTTTCAGTTTTGTCCGAAACAGATGGGTAATTATGTGCAGTCCCGTAATCCAGGCTGTCCCTGACGTGATGCTCAGCCTTTCTCATTTCTCCCTGACCCTGCTCTACCCATCCTCGCTCTTTGTTGTTTCCCACACGGCATCGGGATGGACGGAGGGTGAAAGGAGTCCACGTGACCTTGTAGTGACAGTGAAGGGATCGTCACATCATTGTGACAGTGTCCTGGGTTCTTGCTCTTGACATCTGTGGGGTGCTTTACCTGTCACCTGTGGGAGTTTGACTTTCTGTGGCTCTCTGCTGCTGCTGGCTGTAGCACAGGAGCTGGGGCTTCTTTTCCCGGTTGGTAAGGGCCTCCTGGCCCCTTCCCTGCTCTGACTGCCTGCCCTCTGTTCTTAACTGAGCCCTTAAACTCTCTGAGACTCTGCCGCATCTTCGGTGTGGCCCCTTGGCCTGCCCGGCACACTGTCGTGATCAGCTGCTGCTGCGAGATTCCTCTCCCCTGGCCCTGACGGCCCTGCCCCTGCGGGTCTGTTGGCTCTAGACCCTGTCCGCATCGTGTGGGGACTGAGAGGGGTTCCGCAGTGAGCTCTTCGTAGCACATCATGCCGTCTTCGGCAGACAGTAAGTGCAGACCCGGGGCTGGAGCCCCTGTGCGGTTCTGGAACCTTTCCACTTCTCTCACACAGCCTACCTTCCTCTCCTCCACCTCTCCCAGAGCTGGGAGGAGGGCGGACTGGAGGCATTTACATTTGTTCCTCCTCCCTGGCTCCTGTGATCTTCACGTGCCTGAAGACTTCCCCTTTTCCCCCTTTCCCTCGGGACCCTTGATGCAAGCCCTGCAGTCCAGACTCTGGCATCCTGTCGCACTGATAATGGGAGGAGTTCACTCCCTCTCCTAATGACAGGGGAGGGATCCTTAAGTCTCCCTCCATAGGGGACAGCTCCTGGCCACCAAGCCTATTACTGCTTTGCAGCAAAACACCTCTTTGAATGTTAAAAGCAGATATTACCGGGGCTCCTCGGGGGCTCTGTTGGTTACGCATCTGGCTCTTAATTTCAGTTCAGGTCATGATCTCGCGGTTTGTGGGTTCAAATCCTGCATTGGGCTCCACGCTGACAGCACAGAGCCTGCTTGGGATTCTGTGTCTCCCTTTCTCTCTGCCCCTTCCATGCACATCCTCTCTCTCAAGATAAATAAACAAACTTAAAACATATATATATATGTGTATATACACATATACATATATATGTGTATATATATATATATGTATATATATGCGTGTATATATATACAGACACACACACCTAATTTTCTGTTTTCACATTTCCTTTTTTAGCAAACTCTAATCTCCACCAAGGTAGATAGATGCCTTTGGTTTGCTAAGGACAGAGATTATCCTGGAAAAGCAAAAGAGAAAAGGACACTTAATCATTTTCTGATTATCTCTGTTATAAGCTTAATAGTAATTAAATCGTCAAGGAAATACTTACAAAATTGACTTAGATGAACAGTGCTTACTCCTGTAAGAAGTCAAAGTAATTGAATCAATAAACTATCTATAGCAAATATAATTTATTAATCTGCTAAATATATAAAGAGTAGTAATGTTTGATTTTTAAAAATAGACACCAGGTGGCATTTGCTACTATACAAAGAATTAACTCTGAATATGATGGAAAGGGAGTAAGGGATTTGCTCTTTCTTAGGTGATGGTTAACACCATGCCAGATTACGTACATACTGTGTTCACAAACAAGATAAATTGTTAACATGTGCATGATGTGGAAAAAAGTATTGGGATACTCCAGAACATTCGGTGTGGTTTTCTGCAGAGAGGTTCTAGGTTATTTTGCTTTTCCTCATTTGTCAAAATCTTTATCATCAGATTTACTTTTACAGTGAGTGGAAAGTATTTTTGTTAAGTAAAAGCCGCTGGTCTCAAGACTTATCTGCTAGTGATTGATCATTGGGGTGGATGTTGGAAAGAGGATGAAATGCATAAAAAAGTCATTTTTTGTTGTTTTACCTAAAATGTAATATATTAATGATTTTTCATTTTTCTTTTTCTTTTAGGAAGCTATCATACAAATAATGAAGATGAGAAAGAAAATTAGCAATGCTCAGCTGCAGACTGAACTAGTAGAAATTTTGAAAAACATGTTTTTGCCACAAAAGAAAATGATAAAAGAGCAAATAGAATGGCTAATAGAGCACAAATACATCAGAAGAGATGAATCTGATATCAACACTTTCATATATATGGCATAATTTTGAATATCATGGACAACATTAGAACCCAAATTGCAGAGTGCTTGGGCAGAAAGTTGTAACAGTTTGTGCTGGAGGAAGGTTTATTTGGACTTTGATTACATAACTATTAAAATCTCTGCCTTACCTGACAGAACAACTATATTTTGCCAGTCACGTTAGTTAGCATGATGGCATCCCTTCATGTTGCACACTCGGTAACAGCATGCTGTTTTGTGGAGAAACTTGCATTCATGAAGAGCCCATTATGAACTTTTCACAGTAAATTTGATTTATACCCATCGGAAAAAATAGTTGGGAAGGGTGAGGGCGGGGTTCTTAATTGCTTTTTTCCTCTTTTTTTTTTTTCCTCTCTGACAAAAATGTACTTGCACAAGGAAGGATCTTCAGATATTCGTGCACTGAATAATGCTGTTATGTTTTGTTTTTTTAAATGCAATTAAAACTAGAAATAGCACTCTTGGTTTCTTTCGATCAAAAGAGGGAGCTGGTGTACACGACGCTGCGGGGTGGGGGGGGACAGATGTAGGTGAGGAGATAAGTATTTAATAGCATCACATTATTTGTTCACGCCCTGCTTCAGTATAATAACTGGATTTAATGGTGACCTGAAAATGACACGAGATTTTTCCAACTTACAAATGTTGGCTTTCTTTTTAAGCAGGAGACTGCTAGTTTAGTTGTTTGTTGTTAAATAAGGAGTTTGAAAATCTGCTATGGCTGGAGAGCTTGTTTTGAAAAAGTAAAGCTTATATTACTTTGTTGTTTCAACCGTTTAAGAAAATGTATGGAGACAGATCATTTAAATTGCAGAGAAAAAAAATCACAAAACAAACATATTAAGTGTGTTCAATAACACACTTAATATTTATCTAGTATTTATTATGCCTAATTGATTATATCTAAATTTACTAAAAACAAGGCAGAAATCTCCTCCTGTCCTATTAGTACGGTTACATAACTGATCACTTGATCTGCAGCATAGAAATGTTTTGGAATTTTAAACTCTGATGATAAGGGATTTATAGGCTCAGGTTTCTGGAAAGGAAGACGTTCTGTTTTAAAGAGTAGTGAGTGTCCGTTACCTAGGAGGAATAGCAAAACCACAGCCTAAGGCCTGAAAAGCATAAGCAGATTGTTGCGGTCTTAATATGAGCAGTAAACTTGCCAAATATATGTACATATATATTTATATATTTTAAAAATAAATGTTTTTAAAATGTTCCGAAAGCAACACTTACCTTGTTCCTTTCAGTCAATCCAAAGTAGCAACTGACTGGTTTGCTGGGAACTGAATATCCAGAGTAATGCGGAGCTCGGGATGTGAGGACGCGGGCAACCGAGATGGGACAGACGATTCCCCGTTGGGAAAGAGTGGCTCCCACATGGATTTTTATTCGTTATGCTGCACGTTCCAAGTTTTCTCGCAAATTCGTTTGTATCTTGTTTGATATTAAGTATTATTTTAAACCTATGACTTTGGAAGTAGTAGGAAGCAGAGAGCCGAGCTCCGAGAGGTAGACAGCGGACAATACTACGCAGAGTGCTCTCAGGAGCGTCACAGTGAGTCCTTCCCCCCCCCCCCCCCCCCCCCCCCCCCCCCACCAGAAAGCATCGTGAGCTGTCTGCTGCCGGGATGGAGAGCAAATTTACAACATCTAAGGTGTCGCTGGTGATGTTCAAATGCCTGTTCCGAAACTCCTAGAAAATTAGGATTTTGTTTCTAATTTAAAATCTTATGCCCAGCTCTAGGGCAGCACATGTCAGGTATTACACGAAGTGTGTTGGGGAGAATAAACTGAATGAGAGGACGGTGAACAATGGGTACATTTGAAATTTAGAAAATAATAATTTTGTAATAATTGTGGCCCTTACATTTAATATAACACTCTGAGGAGCATATGTGCTTATCCAGTAGGAGAACGCCCACGGGGGAGAACAGTTGAAGGGGAAATTACAGGCCATTTTTTAAAGTTTAAGATTTGTTGCTTCAAACCATAATTGTTCTTAGAATATTTTTGGAATTTCTCATCTTTTGGTCATTTGAGAGTCATGATGTTTTGATTTATAATGGAAAATTTAGTGCAAAAGTGGGTAACTAAATCCATAGCAAAGTTTTCTATTCAATTTTATAAATTTTTTAATAGCGAATTATGTCCTAATTGTATTTTGGGAAATTGAACAGCAGCAAATACTGTAGACATACAGTTACCATTTTTTTCTGTTATGTATACAAAATTTAACTACTTTTTGGTGTTTATGAAAACAATTTAGTTGACGAGGTGCCTATACCATTAAGTTTTCTTTAAATATGTCTGGACGGTAGGTTTGCTAATTAACAAAAAAGAATCTGACAAAAAGCTTGTGAGGCACTTGCTAGAGGTACAGAATCACAGTCAGCATTCTTTATCCAGCCCCTGTTCTCCGATTGCACTTAAAAGTCGTGCTGCCTGAGCAGGGGCGAAACCTGACAGAGTCCAGGGAGAGGAGTCCAGGCCGCCACTGGGGCCTGGGGTGGGGCAGTGGAGGCGAGCCAGAGGTTAACGAAGGCAGAACACTCCGTTTCTCGTTTCTCGTGTGAAGATGGAGCCTTCTGGCCAGTGTGAACCTTCGTCGTCTCCCGTTGCCGGAGTCCGGGACACGAAGCAAAAGTTACAAAGTAAAAGATAATGCTCATTTTAATGCTTTATCTTTCAATGCTAATATCTCATTTTAATGCTTACAATGAGATAAATATTAGAACATTAGTGTTCCAATGATTTAATGAGGATCTTGAAATAAATTATGAAGTCTTCCAATTTTTACACTTATTGGAGGGGTCCCTGCATTGTCAACCTGTTCATTTAAGTCTCTTACTCTTATTTTGTGCATAAATGTTGAAATTTCCAAAAATGAAATGTTAGCTTCCTTGTTTTTACTTTTTATTGAATTTAATACAAAATATGACCAGAGTAATTAAAAAGTATTTTGCATTCTTTGCAGTAGGATGTCGTTAGCCCTGCTCACAGGGCAAATTTTCGAAATTCAATTTGGGTGAAAGATTTGCTAGTTTTCCAGAAAGATTTGCTATCTTAAACTCAAGCTGGTTTTTCTATTTTCATGTAAATGACTGGGATGCTATCTTATAAACTCTTCCAAGGTCATGTTTGTGAAATAAACATTACACGAGAGCTTTCCTGTCATCTACACTATATATGTCGTCTGGAGTGTTGAACAAATTTGCGTTCCTAAGTTGTAATCTATCTTCGTATGGTATATACGATTTTGAATGTGTGCCACTACATACTGAGATGATAATGCTGTACAATTTTAAATGGTAGCAGTTTCTGTATGCAGTAGGCTGAAATATTTTGATGAACTGCTTAATTTTTGGATTTTATTTTTTAAGTTGTATAATTTATTTTCTTGCAAAATAAAAATGTAATATAAAAGCTTTCACCTATCCAGAAAATGTTGATGTTCTACTATTACATAGTTTTTAAGAGTTAAATTTAAATTTGTGTAATAGGTACATTTATGCATTTCGTGGTGAAATAGTAAATCTTAGCCTTACAAATCAGAAACACGAAGAGTAACCCACTTCTTGTAGATTTTAAATTTTAGTCCAAAATGAAAGCTCTCATGAATGTACCTGTTTCCACTGATGATAGCGTATGGTTATCAGGCCTGGAAAAGGGAAAAAAAATCAGACCTGAAAGTGATTGACGCATTCCTTCATCAGGTTAGATAGGTCGTATCAGAACCACAAATTGAATTTTTGTATCAGATAAAAATGAAAACATACAAAGTGAATTATCTCATGTTTTGCGTTTATTTGAAAATCTATGAGGTATTTAAATTCCAAAGCTAGAGATTAGTAATAAGGTTATGAGGATGGACAGTGTGTTCACAAGGTACCGCAGACTGGCTTATAAACCACAGACGTGTTTCTCACACTTCCGGAGGCTTGGAATCAGTCCCAGATCAAGGTGCCTGCACGGTTGGTTCCAGTGAGGGACCTGTTCCAGGTTGCAGGCTGCAGACTTGTGGTTGTGGCCTCACCTGGAGGACAGAGGGTTCACAGAGCTCCCGGGGTCTCTCTTCTAAGGGTCCTACTCCCCTTCATGAAGGCCCTGCCTCACGAGCTAATCACCTCTCCAAGCAAAGCCCCACCTCCTAGTATACCACGCCACTGGGGATTAGGTTTCAAAGTATGAATTTTGGAGAGACACAGACATTGTCTATTGTACTTCGTCATGATCCTAAACTCAACTTTGGACTTGAGCAGGGCAGGGAGTTGACTTGGAAATGAAAGCAATGAAAAATATGGTGTCGGTAGAAGATTCACCTAAACCTAGAGGCGGGCCCAGAAGCTTGAGTTTCATGTAACTTGGTCAGGCCCCCGCCCAGGTCCTGGGAAAGGCTCTAGGAATTTTGCACCAGCCTACCTCACTGCACCTCACATTACTATACTCTGCAGGTAAGTTTTCTACAAATAGAAGGCTTGTGGCAACCCAGCTTCATTTTCCAATTAGCATTTGCTCACTTTGTGTGTGTGTCCTATTTTGATAATTTTTGTGTATTTGAAAGGTTTTTGTTGGTTACGTTTGTTCTGGTGATCGGTGATCTTTGGTGCTACTCTTACAATGGTTTCAGGTGCCCCAAACCGCACCCATGTAAGGGTGTGGCAAACTTAATCCATAAATGTTCTGTGTGTTCTGATGACTCCACCATCTGGCTGTTTCCCGATCTCTCTCTCCTCCAGCCTCCCTACTCCTGAGACAACAGTACTGAAATTAAGCCAAGTAACTCTCGTTCAAGTGCCAGGAAGAATCACACATCTCTCACTTTGACTCAGAAGCTAGAGATGATTAAGCTCAGTGAGGAGGGCATATTGCAAGCCAAGATGGGCCAAAAGCAGGCTTCTTGCACAGTCAGCAGGTTGTGAATGGAAGGAAAAGTTCTTGAAGGAAATTAAAAGTGCTTCTACTCCAGTGAACACACGAATGATAAAAACCAACCAACCAACCAAAGCACCTCATTGCTGACATGGGGAAAGTTTTAGTGGTCTGGACAGGAGATAAAATCAGCCACACTTCCTTAAGCCAAAGCCTGATATTTAGAGCAGGGCCCTAACTCTCTTCAATTCTGTGATGGCCGAGAGAGGTGGGGAAGCAGCATAAGAAAAGTTGGAAGCTCGCAGAGGTGGTTCATGAGGTTTAA